TTATGCAGCATGCTAATGAAATATTTTATATATAGATTAAGGAACATGTGGTTTAAAGTGTTCTTATCTATGTGTAATTAATATACACTTGAAACTTCAAAACTGATCGAAATCGGACTCTAGTTCTTGTTCAAATGAGAGAAGAATCCGTTCATTAGAAATTATAACCTCTATTATTAATTGACTTCGACATCCAATATATTAGATAGTCCCAAATACGATAATTTTATCAAGCAACATGGATTTATTTTTTGGTACAAATATATGTTTTGAAGGGCAAAAAGGTGATCAATTTTCTGAGAATATATTTTATTCCATCAACATTTAGGTTTCTAACAGTACTTTTATAATGAAATAGATATAGAAATTGAAGTAAATAGTTGTAAAATATATACGTTCTCCATTGGAAAAATATAGGAAAAAATAAGTACCATTAATAAGTCTTATAATTTAACTTATCAGCTTTATGAACCGATAAATCATTTAAAATTTGCTAATAAGTTAAAAATCAATCTACATCATATGTTGGAGTAAATTACGCAAGACACTTTAGTTTTTAAAAGAAAATTATGAATATGCTTTTCTAATTCAAGTAGGATCAACTTTATAGGGTCGATGTATGTGTAGTTTAAATCGAAAAAGAATTTCACCATGGAGTAATTTAATTACAGTTAGATCCTTACATTATACAAATATTAAAGGGCATAAAAGTCGATCAATATTTTAGGAATATTTTAGTCGTTCAATATTTAACATAAATTATTTGTGCTTTTATAATAATAAACAAGGTTAATATCTAGAATTCTTGTTATGTCCTTGTATTGTGAATTATTATGCTTAATATTACATATAAGGTTATTTTTGTAAACCAACATTGTATTCATGTTTTTATAATAATATAGATATATTATACATTATTAGTGTATAATTTTTAGGAATTTTTACCTCCCATAGCAAAGGTTAACATCTTATTTATTTTAAATAAATACCATTTTAAAAAATTATATTCTATAGATACCTTTTATTGTTTATAGTTAAATATCTAATTTTGGTTACCTCCTACCCCTAAGCCACTAAATACGCTATTCAGTTACACTATTTTCTTTCGCTCTCTACTTTGATACATGTCATTCTCTTCTCCCATTCTCTTGAAAACACGATGCTCAATCTCAAAATTCCTCTTACCCACATCACCTACCATTAGTCAAAAAACCCCCACGCTCTCTCTACTCTCTCCTCTCTCTCTCTCTCTAGGGCGACATGTTGTAGTATAGGCTGCCATGGATGCGCAACCCTCTCCATCAAGTTAACATCAAAAGGTTAAGGTTGAATCTCAAGAGTCTTTGTTTGGATCTCGTTTCCGAATCTGCCGCCTATGTTGTTCGCAAAGAAATCACTATTGTCTATTGCCTCAGCAGCAGGTAAGTCCATTGCTATTGATAAGGCCATGCAAGAAAGGTCTAGACCTAGCACGACTAGGGTTAAGGTTGAACTTGATCTTTAAGGAAAGCTGCCGCAATATACGAGGATTCAATTTGTTGATGATAAAGCTGGGAAGGTTATCGAGCATGTCCAGAAATTCAATTTGGGGCTGAGCAACTTGATTTTCTGTTAATATCTTTTAATGTATTTTCAATGTATTACGCTATATTTTCATGTATTTCATTGTATTCATTGTCTATTTTTTTCATTGTAATTCAATGTATCTCGTTGTATTCCATGTATTTCATTGTATCTCAATGTATGTATTTTATATATTTTATTGTATTCACTGTCTCGCTAGATAGCATGAATGTATTTTATATATATTTTTTTAATTAATATATTCAAATGTATTATATAATTTCTCTGAAGATTGCTATTTTTTTGGGTATTTTTCGGTTGAGAATCTTTTTTATAACTGGAAATACAAAATTTATGTGTTGTAATTGAGTTTGTTGAGTTATATGTTAATTGATTCACTTTCCGTTTAAAAACAGTATAATCCCCTGTTTCACACTGTGAATACAGTTGAATACAATAATATGTCCAGTTGTAATCCCATATTTCACGCCATGAATACAGTAGAATACACTCGAATACAAAAATCTGTCTAGCTGTAATCCCATATTTCACGCCTAGAAATGCTACTGTTTAAATACATAAAATACATCTTATAACAACAGAAAATGTATTTACAATCCGTAATATAGCAAATGATATCTATAGATAGCTAATTACTACTAAAAGATAGTGCTTTATGAAAATTTCTCTTTTAGGAATTTTTACCTCATATAGCAAAGGTTAACACCTTATTTAACTGAAATTTCTCTGAAGATTACTATATTTTTGGGGTATTTTTCGGTTGAGAATCTTTTTTATAACTGGAAATACAAAATTTGTGTGTTGTAATTGAGTTTGTTGAGTTATATTAGGAGTTGATTATGTTAATTGATTCACTTTCCGTTTAAAAACAATGTAATCCCCTATTTTACGCCGTGAATACACTCGAATATAATAATCTGTCCAGCTGTAATCTCATGTTTCATGCCATGAATACAGTCGAATACACTCGAATACAAAAATCTGTCTAGTTGTAATCCCCTGTTTCACGCCTAGAAATGCTACTGTATTCATGAATATAGTATCTCAAATACATCTTATAATAACAGAAAATGTATCTACAATCCAAAATATAGCAAATGATATTTATAGATAGCTAATTACTACTAAAAGATAGTGCTTTATGAAAATTTCTCTATTTTTTATATATTTGACAAGCGACATAATTATTTTAGGCCTACTGGCCCAATGTATTGAAAGCCCAATTAGATGTATACTTGAGTCTATGTGAGGTGTGAAGCCAGACTACTAAAGTCCAAAACACTAGAATCTGAATTATTCTCTAGTAAAGGGCCTAGTAAATTAACTCGTTTAGCTTTAATAAGCCCACGGCCACCTAATCCATTCAAAATTGGGAAAATAGCACGAGCTAGTCAGTGCTTGGACTGGTAATTGAAATAGCTAGAGTTTGTAAAGTTATTGTAAAATAGTTACTATTTTGCCAAAACATGCAAAGTTCTAGCATAATATACTGGATTATGGAGCTTCTGCATATAAACTTTCAGCATATTATGTTGGAACTCCAACACATGAAAAATTCTAGCATAATATGCTGGATTATGAAGCTCCTGCACATAAACTTTCAACATATTATGTTGAAACTTCATCACATTCTGAAATTCCAGCATAATGTGCTGGAATCTCATATGTAAAAAATTAGAACTTCAGCATATTATGCTCGAATTTTTTCAGATTTTTAAGGGTGTTTTTATTCAGATTTTATCTTTACATGAAAAATTGGCCAAAGTTTTTGATTACTTTTAAAATTACGGCTATTTTTCAATTACCAGTTAAAAATCTGGCTGCTTTTGTTTTTTCCTCTTCAAAATTCTCCCATTTTTGGGTCAAAAAATATTTCTTCTTTTTTCTAAAGAATAAAATAGGGTTGTTTAAAACTACAGTCATTTGCGACTTTGTAGTGTCTCAACGTATAGGAATTTTTGTACCAGAAATAATGATATCTCCGATTATAACTCCAACGATAAGGCTTAGGCAGGTTATATGGATTTTTAGATTTGTTTTGTTTCCTTTTCTTATGCACTATCTTGTGAAAATCCTCTTATCTTTCGTTAATTTTAATTTTTCTACTTTTCTTCCCTAATTACATAATTGTGAGGAGTGGTAGTACGAAATTATGGTCTCAAAGTGCATCAATACCAAACATCTCCTTCACCTACTAGTTGTGGTTTGTTACTTACCTAAAATACATCTTTAGTGTGAGGACATTGCGATTACGATAAAGTTGTTAATTTAAAATAATAGAAGTACTAATACAAACTCTTATGTACTGCGGTATTGCTCTGGTCAAAGTGTAGGAAGGCGTCAACTATGGCGCTAGGTCCTAAACTAATCCATGATTCGCTCGTGAAAAGTTGCATTTATCTTCTATAGTACTTGTTAAAATAATTTTAGGTGGGTCTGATAGGGTCAAGTCGTGGAGCCACCTTAGTCCAAAGATATTGACATCTCTTTGCTAAAAAAATTATATTGTATAGCTAAGTTAATTATATATACATATAGCTTCTTTTGCGCGTTTAATTCTTTGTGTTTTTACCCTTTTTAGTAAAAATTTTAACCATTTGCCGTGGCTTTGCCACAGTCGTAGCTGTCACATGACAAATGCATTAGGTTATTTCCCTATATTCACTATTCAAACATTACAGTCAACTACGACTGAGTCGAGTACTAAACATATGTTGGCAAGTTAAAGAAAAAGGTAAGATACTTGTACTGGCGATTATATTAAATTGATAATGTACAAGATATTGAGATGTCAATTCTAGCTTTTGTGGTAGGATTGGAAATGGATATTGAGTAGAAGTTTGATGCCTTGGGCCATTGGAAAGTATCAAGCATACAAAATATGATGAGGCCAACTATTTTAGTTGAGCAACATTTATGACTGTAGCCACCCACAAATTAAGAAGCCTACCATCTAGTCCATTCAGTTTGTCCTCTCAATATTGTAAAAGAACAATAGTAGTAACTTTTTTTATTTTGTATTGAGCCAAGCAATATCACTTAGTTAGTTATAATGACAGTTAGTTAGTTGTACTAATTGTAACTTAAGTTTACTATGGTTAGTAATAGAGTTAGTTAACCATAGTTAGTAGTAGAGTTAGTCTTTGTTTGCATTCATATACATATACATGTACATGTACACGTAATATAGTTGAAGAAATAGAATCTTTTGGAATATTCTCTCTCCATCTTCTTCCTCTGTTTCACTGACCTACTCAAACTCATTAGATTAGCTTCAATCAGCTAAGAATCCATGGCTAAACTTCATGGATAGCTGATTTTAACATGGTATCACAGCCACACGGCCGTTAGTGTGGTCTAATCATTTTCAATTTCGTCCATTTTAGTCTTCTTCAAGTTAATTTGAAAGATCAACAATGGCGACTGTCGATAATACTGAACCAGAGAAATTAGGTCGCAATCATCTGCTTTTCCTGAATTCAAATGATAATTCAGGAGTTGTGTTGATTTTGTTGCAATTACGAGGACCAGAAAACTACTCTGTGTGGAGCCGGGCAATGGGGATTCCAATCCTAGGTCGAAATAAGCGAGGGTCCATTGATGGCATATGCAAAAGGGAGAATTACAGTACAAATCTCATAGATCTCTGGGAACGTTGTAATGCGATTGTATTGTCTTGGTTGATGAACTATGTTTCTCCGGAATTGTTGAGTGGGATGGTATATTCGTCAAATGATAATGAGGTATGGGACGATTTGAAGGAGCGATTTCATAAGGTGGATTGCTCTAGGATTTTTCAGATCAACAGAGAAATTGCTACTGCTAGGCAGGGCACCAGTTCGATTTCGACTTATTTCTCAAAATTAAGAGTGCTTTGTGCAGAATTTGATAGTTTGGCTCCAATTCCTGGTCATGATACTGCTAACTCTAGTGAATTTGTTCAATTCATGGAGCATCAAAAACTTCTAAAATTCCTAATGAGACTGAATGAGTCTTATGAACAAGCACGCAGCCAGCTCTTGATGATGATTCCTGTTCTATCTGTGAACAAAGCTTATTCTATGTTAATAAAGCGTGAGAGTCAGAGGACAATGTTCAACACCTTTACCACTGTTGATGGGGGTGAGATGGCGACGTTGATGACGAATAAGTCTGGGAATCAGCAGAGGCCAAAGAAAAATTACAGTCTTCAGTGTGATGTATGCCACATGAAAGGCCATACTAAAGAAACTTGCTACACGGTAGTGGGATATCCAAAAGATAACAAGTTCAAAAAGAAGTACAATTCCCAGACAACAACTAATTTTGCAGCTGAAGATATTCCAGCAACAACAACTGGTTCTACTCCTATGGCTCCTACATTCACTCCAGAACAATATTAGCAGATTCTACAATTGCTTAAAGGCAAGGGGACTGAAGTAGCAGCTAATGCAACAGGAATGGATTTAGGTATTATAATGTCCTTAATGTCTAACATGGATCAAAATGTTTGGATTGCAGATAGTGGTGCTCTAACCACATGGTTTCAATGCTAGAAGCATTATGTAACCCTACCTCATTCCTAAAACCTAACTCAGTTCATTTGTCAAATGGAGATGTGGCTGCAATTACACATAGTGGATCAACTAGTATTTTCAAGAACCAACAAATTAGTGATGTTCTTCATGTTCCAAACTTTAAGTATAACTTAGTGCCAGTTTCAAAATTGACAAAAGAGCTGCAATGTTTGGTAGCCTTCTTTCCTGATATATGTGTATTTAAGGATCTCTACACTGGGAAGGTGTTGGGGATTGGTAGTGACACAAATGGACTGTATATACTCAAAGATTGCATATGCATGAGGAAGCTTACTACACCAACTGTACATACCACGATCATGCCTACTTCTATGTCAGTTAGTCAAGATTCAATAAAACTGGAGATATGGCACCGGAGACTTGATCACCTCCCTATGGAGACACTTAAGAGGATTGATAAGTTCAAAAATCTTCACACTAGTAATAGGAGCTGGGATTGTGCAATGTGTCATGTTTGTCCATTAGCTAGGCAGACTCGATTACCATTTTCAGTTAGTACTAGTAGAGCTAAGGCACCATTTGGTCTTTTGCATACTGTTGTTTGGGGACCTTTCAGAGTACCCACTTATGATAGCTAGAGATTTTTTCTTATAGTAGTGGATGATTTCTCTAGAATTACTTGGCTCTTCCTTATGAATGCTAAAGACGAGACTTGTTGGTTAATGAAAAAATTATTTTTTATGATCAGTACTCAGTTTGATTGTTCTGTTAAGATCCTGAGAACATATAATGGTTCTGAATTTGCTAATTCAAATATGAAGTAATTAGTTGAGACATTAGGAATTGTACATCAAACTACATCTGTTTATACTCCGCAGCGAAATGGTATAGTAGAAAGAAGACACAGATACATCCTTGAAACAACTAGAGCTTTGAGATTTCAATCTGCAACACCTTTAAGATTTTGGGATGAGCGTGTTCTTACAGCAGTACACATAATAAATAGATTGCCTTCTACAACCTTGAAAGGAAAGTCCCCCTATGAAGTATTCTTTAACACTACACCATCATTAGATCACCTTAGGGTGTTTGGGTGCTTATGTTATGCTGTAAATGTAAGTAAACAAGACAAGTTTTCTGCCAGAGCATTGCCAACAATGTTTATGGGATACTCACCAACAAAGAAGGGCTATAAACTGTATGACTTGCAATCCATGCAATTTCTAATCAGTAGAGATGTGGTGTTTAAGGAGCAGGTGTTTCCTTTTAAACAAATGAAGATGATGCGTAATCCCTTATTTTCAGTCCTTGAGTTAACAGATGAGCATTTAGTTTCACATGTTTCTGATGCAGTTCAGGAGAATCCACCTACTCCTACCAAAGACTTTGCACTTGATGATGCTCATTTACTTGAAGCACAACTTGATAGTCCTGCACCACAGGATGTTGAGCCTCCTTCACATGTAGAGGTTGTTCTACCAATTGCAGTCAGAAAATCCCAAAGAATAACTGGACCTCCCAGATGGATGTAGGATTATGTGACAAGTTCTTGTGCATATCCTATATCCAATTATCTAAGCTATGATGGGTTATCCCCTTCATATGTGAAATGTCTGACTGCACAATCAATCATTGTTGAGCCCAAGCATTACTATGAGGCAGCCAAAGATGCAAGATGGTCAATGCTATGCAGCAGGAAATTCAAGATTTGGAAGATAACAAGACTTGGGATATAGTTGATCTGCCTAAAAGTAAAACTCCTAGAGGATGCAAGTGGGTATACAAAGTCAAATACAAAATCAATGGGGAGGTGAAAAGGTTCAAGGCTAGGCTTGTAGCGAAAGGCTTTAGCCAAAAGGAAGGTCTAGACTACAAGGAGACTTTTTCTCCTGTAGCTAAAATGGTGACTGTCAGATCAGTTATAGCTGCAGCTGCTTCAAAACATTGGCACATCTATCAGATGGATGTGCACAATGCATTCTTGCAGGGGGGTCTCTTTGAAGAAGTATACATGCATCTTCCTCAGGGTTTTGGCACCAAGGGGGAGTCTAGAGCCAAGGTGTGTAAATTGAGAAAGTCACTTTATGGGCTCAAATAAGCATCTCGACAATGGAACTTGAAGCTCACAGAAGCTCTCCAAGACCTGGGATTTATCCAAAGCCACTTTGATTATTCCTTGTTTATACAAAGGAGAGGTGATGCTTTAGTTGTTGTTAAGTAGATGACCTTCTGGTGACAAGTAATAATCAGCAACTTATTCAAGCTGCTAGAGATAACCTTCAGAAGAAGTTCAAAATGAAAGACTTAGGGGAGCTTAGATTCTTCATAAGCATAGAATTTGATAGAAGTAAGGCTGGAATCCTCATGAATCAATGCAAATATGCCCTTGATTTGATATCTGATTCAGGGCTGGGGGGAGCAAAGCCTGTGTCAACATCTTTGGAAGTTAATCAGAAGCTTACATCAGTGGAATTTGATGAAGCTACGCAGACCAAGGATAATGAGGATACTATTCTGGATGATGTTGAACCCTATCAAAGGCTTGTAGGAAGGTTGCTCTACTTTACTATGACCAGACCTGATATAGCTTATGTGCTTCAGGTCTTGAGCCAATTCATGTACACACCTAAGATGTCACACATGAATGCAGCCCTAAGAGTCATCCGATATGTGAAGAATGCTCAGGTTTGGGTTTACTGATGTCTTCTGCAACCTCTCATTCCTTGGTTGCTTATTGGGACTCCGAGTGGGCAGCTTGTCCACAGTCCAGAAAATCAGTCACATGGTACATTGTGATGTACGAGGAATCACTTATTTCTTGGAAATCCAAGAAACAAAGCACAGTGTCAAGAAGTTCAGCAGAGGCAGAGTTTAGAAGCATGACTTCAACAGTAGCTGAATTTTCATGGCTTGTGGGTCTGTTTAAGGAGTTAGGCATCACTGTGAAATTGCCCATAGACATCTTCTGCGACAGTAAAGCAGCCATACAGATAGCTGCCAATCCAATATTCCGCGAGAGGACCAAATATATTGACATCGATTGTCATTTTGTACGGGAGAAATTGCAACAAGGTCTCATCCAAACTCATCATGTCAATACTAAGGATCAACTTGCAGATTTACTTACCAAAGGCCTTGGGAAAGCACCACACTATCATCTGTTGAGCAAGTTACGAGTAGAAATTTGTTCCTACCCTCCAGCTTGAGGGGAAGTATTGAGCCAAGCAATATTACTTAGTTAGTTATAATGACAGTTAGTTAGTTATACTAATTGTAACTTAAGTTTACTATGGTTAGTAGTAGAGTTAGTTAACCATGGTTAGTAGTAGAGTTAGTCTTAGTTTTCATTCATATACATATACATGTACAGATACACGTGATATAGTTGAAGAAATAGAATCTTTTCGAATATTCTCTCTCCACCTTCTTCCAATGTTTCACCGACCTACTCAAACTCATCAGATTAGCTTCAATCAGCTAAGAATCCATGGCTGAACTTCATGGATAGTTGATTTTGACATTTTGGTCGTTACAAACTAAATTCCTTTTTGAATTATAGTGTCTCAAACTCAACGAAACTTCCAGCTTAGGTCTCTAATCCACATCTCCAAATAGGCGGGGGCCAGGCTAATTAGCTAGGTAGGATTACATACTAGATTACCTTCAGCCGGTTAAGTTAATACTTTCAGTGTTTCTAGTTTAATCCAATACGTATATTAGTCTAAGGGAGTTCGAGAAACCATATAGTAATCGTGGTTGACCAAGAAAAGCAGTTCCTTTAAACCGTGATTCGGTCGAGCAAAGTTTTGTTATTGTTACATGATTATTAAAATAATTAAAGGTGGAAATATCAGGAAATTGGGGATAGTCAGCGTATTCATGGATTCGCCCCATATTACTCGCTAATCATTGACATTTTTAATTTTGACTCTGGTATGTGGAGCAGTTGATAAATGCATGTGTCGTTAAAAAATTATTTTATGAGCAATAGACTTTTCTCCCACCAACAGTAAATGTCTTCATTTGTTAGGTTGAAGTAGAAGAACTGGAAAAAGATTGAAATAATCTTCTTTTAGAACACACACTATTATTCTACACGTATTACAGCTCTGCATGTAAAAGTCCTAGTCGTCTGATAAAATTAAAGTTACCCTACTTACAATTTTGTCATGGTATTCTTCTCCAATTTAAGATTTTAATTTCTGCCCAAACGTATAAATTGCAAGGTACAATTTATAAACAATTTAGTTAATTAATGAGATCGAACAAAACCCACAGCTACATATAAGTAATCTCTACCATTGCGTCATGAAAATATTGTTAGTTATATATTTATAAATATAATTATCACTAAACTATAATTAATTAATATATAATTTTACTTTAATTTATCACTTAACCATGATAAATTAGTAGGATCTGATGTAAACACTCGATGTGAAATCATTTTTACCCTTCTCTCAAATTGGTTTTACATTTAAACAACTTAAAATAACTCCTTCAGCGGAACTCTAATGATATCAAGGCTATTGGGCCAATGACTCAAAATATACCTTGTATGAGTAGAAAGTAGCAATATTAGTAATTACAACGTGCTGAATTAATTTGCCAAATTGAGTAACACGTATTATTGAGTCCACGGAGACACCAAAGAACTCACTCACGCGTAATCATTGATTGTTTTGCTGTTTAGTAGTCCACCTCACTTCAAAATTTGAAATACTGTTTTGACTAGAAGGGGAAAAAAAGAAAGAATAGGATAATCAATTTTAGACAAATGTAAAAGCCAAAAATGGTACTGTAGATGTTTTTCAAACTCTCCACATGAATCCACATATTCTCTTCTTCATGTCTTAAATACAGGA